AAAAACTTTCGACGTGAGCCCAAAATGAAGTCTTAATCTAACCCTCGTTTCGCAAAAACAAACATAGAACTTCGTTGCGTTTCCAGAGAACCGGACTCCTCTCAATCACGTCAGTTCTCTCGTTCTACCAACTCGTTTGAAAGTCGATTACTTGAAACTGTTCACACAAACACGTTTAGTCCCAGCGTATTTGCCATTACTGAGAGCCCAGCATCACCGGAGGTATGCTGACATTTCACTTTTCTAGCAACCACTTTTATTTTTATCTTCCCTATTCCTTTTTCTTTTCGTCTTGCTCAGGAATTCAAATGGTCTATCGAAGAGCTGTCTGTGTTGAAACCTGCTCACATTACTCAAGAGGAAATCGCACAGAGTGCTTACTCACCGTGGGTTTTGTTTTAGCTCGCCAATTTCGTTCAACTCTAGTAGGGCGCAGTTCGGCGACGGGGAGGGGGGCATTTTGCACTTTCGTTGCTTCACTATTCCGGTTTACAAGTCTCACTCTGGTGAAACCTGTGAACTCTTGTGAAGCTGGAGCAAGCTCGTCAAGCCATCATGGTAAAACCTGTCAACTCAGAAGAGGCTGTCTAGATGGGTCGACACGTCAATGGGAAGTAGTGAAAGTGCAAAATGCCCTCCCCTTCGCCGCACTGCTCCTAGGGCGCAGTTTAGTCGGGTGAGAGGTGGGGCAGGGGGTTTGCACTTTGCTAATTCAACGTGTTCATTGGTGCACAAGAGTTGACAGGTATTCTTTACAAGTGTTGGTAAGAGTAGCTTCTAAAAACTTTGACAGGTAGCCCTTCATGGCTTTACAAGATTTCACAAGCCTCCAGTTTATGGTACGACACGTCTGCGAAAGTGCAAAATGCTCCTCCCCCCTGACCAAGGAACCGCTCCGATTACGATTTTCGTTCTAGTGATCCCGAACATGAAGCCAAGATTCAGTCTATACTTGATGAGTATTGGAAGAACAACACATGTTATATTCCGTCACCTGATATCCCTGTAAAGGTGATTTTTTTGCCCACTACTCTTTATTTCACAGTATTTCTCAAATTTCTTCTATTTTTTTTTGCTTTCCACCTTGCTTTTGTGGATTCAAAGAATTTAAGTGATGACTATTCGCCTTTTTTAAGAATCCACTAATGTTATCCGCCCCCGAGACGCCGTTGTGTGACATGGTTCGTATTAATGCTGCTAATGCGTATGAAATATTCCACGTCGTCACCAAAAGCCCGTCCTAATGTGTCGGGCTTGTCGCGTCGCGGCAGCTTCATTCAACCGTTACGTAACCAACAAGTGCAGACTGAAATAACGATCGCTCCGTCAACTGATTTCGACTTTGCTCGGATTTTGGGTGATTTTTTGTTGTTTTTTTTTTTTTTTAGTGACTTGTTCAATTTTTTTCTATCCGAGTTAGTGGATGCCGCCAGTCAGAATTCCTTGAAGAATTTGCACCTGAACTGTTTGATCCGTCACCAGACAGGACCATGTTCACCGCCAATTGAGAGCACTGTGTGGTTGAACTGGGGAAATGATCAATGATGATGGTTTATTCTCTTCGACGTGTTCGATCCATTTGGAGAACATGGTATCCCACCCATTTTATAACATCGTTGGGAGAGTCCCGTGAGGAGACGGGGTGGGAGTTTGTCCCCTAGGAGAGAGGTCCTGCTTGTCCTTGAGAAAATAAGACCGTCCTGAGCTTTACCCGGTTATTGACTTTTCTCGCGTCCCACTCTCCCTAGCAACAGGGGCCGTGGGACTTTCCACAGCTGATATTTTATCAGTAATTGAGAGAGTAGATTATCGGTAACGACCTTGCTCCTCCTGTCCTCCTCGACGCTAGTTGCTGAAATTGTGAAAATTTCTGGAAAACTATAAAAATAGGAAAAAGCTTGAAAAGGATATGATAGGGAAGGGCACCCAACGAGTGTGCCCTTCCCTATCATACCCATACCCAACGAGCTATGCCCTAGTCTCAGTGAGAGGTGGACCCTGTCCATCACCGTTGGTGGGACCTGATGATGAGCTAATCAGTAAGAATAGGTTGTTTTCATAACATAGTCGTGACTCGCTCCCTTGTACACAATTAGTTCATTATTCCTTCTTCTGATCAGACTCCATGGTTCTGGCCAGCTAAAATGTGAAGCTGTTCAGGGCGCAAGATGTATGAAGGGCACGCTCAACTCACAGTGAGGCAACACTAAAATTACAACCTTTTCTAGGTCCATCGTGTATTTATATGTCGTCAGAAGATTGTGGAGAGGATTCAGTGTTCAACGCCACCACTTCTAGCGCGGGATCACTGCGTCGTCGCTTGTTCTCTGAAGAAGATGGCGTGGATCCCTCATGTTGCAGTCCGACCGATTTGGTACGTTTGAATCGGGCCAACATAGTTGATCCCTTTCTTTCTAAAAGCAGATGGCCAGAGTGCATGTAGCTTTCATTCCGCATGCTCTCCCTCCCCAACACATACCCTCGTAAGCTGTTTGTTCTGGAGTTTTTCTAGTTAGCTGGTTTCGGCTGAATTTCTTATGTTCATAGTTATACGAAAGCCAGATGGTGACAAATCGCCACTGAGCTTTTATCGTTTTTTTTTTCGCTGCTCGCAGGTCCTTCTGCCGCTACCACTATGAACAAGGCTAAAAGTAAGGGTTCGTATATACTAAGCGTCAGCGTTTTTAACGCACCCAGCGTTTCCAGCGTGTAGGAAAGTATAGGTATCGATCCTGTTCTGAGCTCCAGCGTACGCTGGAG